AAGAACTGGAGCATGAAGCAGAAAACCCACCGAAGCGACCTCAGGTGGAAGAGCCCATTTATTTCACCGAAATGATGCGCATAGGATACAATATCCTCACGACAATGCTCTCGTCGTGAAGCTCGTCGTAAATGATTTTGAAGTGAAGCGGATCTTGGTGAACTCAGGCAGTTCGGCCAACATCCAATTCAAAGGAACATTCGATAGGCTACAGCTGAAGTAGAGTGACTAAAACTAGCAGATACACCCTTGGTGGGGTTCAGCAACAAAGAAGTCAGACCCCTTGGCCGGGTCACGGTACTAGTAGAGGCAGGGACGTGGCTAAACATAGTGCAATTCGAGCGTACCTTCCTTGTGGTCGCGACTCCGTCCCCTTACAACGCGATCGTAGGTCGGTCCATCCAACATGTCTTACGTGTGATAGTATCAACATACTACTTGGCAAAGAAGTTCCCGACAGATTACGGAGTAGGGGTCATACGAGGCAATCAACTCGAGTCTCACAAGTGCTACGTGGCTGCATTGAAAGGTAAGGCAAAGTTGGCAGATGATGTCGAGCTAAAGTAACTAGCAGACTACACCAAGGAGCGAGCTGCCCTGATGGAGGAGATAGTCCATATATTGATTTCCAAAACTGAGCCGACCAAGACCCTCTAGATCGATGCTCTAATAAGCAAACCGCTCCGAACACAACTAGTAAGTTTTTTACTTAATAATTTAGATGTTTTTGCTTGGTCTACGGCAAAAATGCCCGGCACCGACCCTAGTGTGATTACTCACAAGTTAAGTGTGGACCATTTAGTCAGGCCAATTAGACAAAGAAAACACAACCTCGCTCTGGAGCGGTGGAGGGTAGTCGATGAGGAGGTTGGGAAACTCCTCGCCGCAAACTTCGTCAAGGGAGGTCCATTATTCGAGCTGGGTAGCCAACCCTGTGCTGGTGAAGAAGGCCAACAGAAAGTGGCGCATGTGCGTCGACTACACCGACCTGAACAGAGCTTGCCCAAATGACAGCTTCCCCCTTCCCAGGATAGACCGCCTGGTAGATGCGACCTCGGGGCATGAGTTGCTGAGTTTTACGAACGCCTACTCCGGCTACAACCAGATTAGGATGTACATAGCCGACCAGGACAAAACCGATGTTGTAACTGAGCTAGGGTTGTACTTTTACAAAGTCATGCCCTTTGGTTTAAAAAATACTGGAGCAACTTTCCAGCGACTTGTAAACAAAATTTTTGAACCGTTGATCGGTAATAAGATTGAATGTTATGTTGATGACATGGTCGTGAAAACCCAGTTTTTGGACTCTTTAGTTGACGATTTAAATTCTGTTTTTCAAATTCTGAGAAAATTTAACATGAACTCAACCTGAACAAGTGTGTCTTCGGGGTCACGTCGGGCAAAATTCCTTGGTTACATAGTGAACCGACGTGGCATCGAAGCCAACCCTAATAAAATTAAGGCCATATTAGATATGAGACCGCCCCAGAAGATAAAGGAGGTCCAAAGACTAATAGGCCGAATAGCCACCCTAAACCGGTTTATGTCCAAATCGGTGGGTCGGTGCCTACCCTTCTTTAAAGCAATAAAAAACAACGAAGACTTTGTATGGACTGAATAGTGTCAGCTCACATTTGATGAGTTAAAAAAGTACCTAAGTACTGCACCGGTTTTGACATGACCTGAGGAAGGTAACGAACTGAAGTTGTACCTCTCCGCGAGTGATGAGGTGGTCAGATCGGAACTAATCAAAGAAGTAGACCGGGTCCAACGACTTGTCGACTACGTAAGTAAAGTTTTGCAGGAGGCCATACCATTGTTGTCCTTACCAATAGACTTCTAAGGCACATTTTTCTTAAGCCTGAGGTGTCAGGTAGGTTGATGAAGTGGTCCCTCGAGCTGAGCGAATACGACATCCAGTTCGAGCCACGTCCAACGATCAAAGCCCAAGTCCTGGCAAACTTCATAATAGAATGTACATTCAGCACATCGGCCCCTGGGCTGACTGAGCCCGCTAACGTGTCGGAGGAATCAACCAATGTGGCAGATCAGGGGACCTCGGATGATTTGGCCTAACCTAATAAGTAAAGGACACGTGGATGCGGCCTGCCAACCAGACGACAAATCAGCATGTGGTGCCATGACAGCAGATCGGGGGACCTCGGGTGCTCGGTCACTTTGGAGCCGAAGCACCTTGGTACCCACATGCGCTGAGGTGCCACATAACCGAACATAAAAACTTGCTTGTTTCCGAACTTCTCAAGATCACGCCGCATAACTGTAGGCCTTATCCTCACTCCGCCTGAATTGGAGGGAAATGATAGGCCTTATTAACTAGTGCGTTACCCTCCTTCCAAAGCGGAATGGATCCCTACATCGCGGGCCAAGGATTCCGGGAGCGTTTCGCGAAACCCACGGTAGTCCATCTATATAAGGGCATCAACCCACAAGACTCAAGTACGAGCAATTACTTGCTCACTAGCTTACTTGCATTCAACCTTTCAACTCGCAACCAGAGTACAATACTAACTTAAGCATTGGAACGACCTCGCCGGGTTAGTGACCCCGGATTCTTTGATCCTTTGTCTTACAACTTGGTCCAATTCGCTACGCGACTAGTGTCTAGGTAGTCTTCCAACTTGGAACTCCTAGATCGCACACCATCAAGAAGTACATAAAAATAGATAATTGTTTTATATGTTAACTTTTTAAATAATTAATAATTAGTTTTAATATTTTTTATATTTTTATAATACAAAAATAATAATAATAATTAATTTCAGATAGGTTCATCATATCGATAAAACTGACCAAACTAAACAACTCGACCCATTGTGGATTTCAGTTCAGCAATTTCTCAATTTCGTAGACCAGATTGGGTCCGTTTCGATTTGACCATTTAATTTTTTAAGAGAAATTTTTTTTTGAATGTGGTGTATCGAACATCTAATGACATTGAAGCCCCCCTCCATCAGATGTCTGTCAATATTCTGTTTTTAAATCCCTAAGCTGCCCAAGCCTCCGCTTCGTTGATCGAATAGCTACCAATATCGCTTTTGAAAACTATTTAAAAATATGGCAGATTTTGGCGTCTGAGGAAGGGCTCGCTTCAGTTCGAGTACTTGGTCAATTGATAAAGGTTATGGTGGCCGACCAAGTTGTTCAGAATTGTGAGGAGTTCCTACACAAATGTCTAATCATGACAGATGGTTGTCCGTCGAGTTAGGAGGTGAATCAATGGTTGCTCCTCTAACGACATCTACAACAACGTCGGTGAGAAGACCGGAAGGAAACAGGTGGTTTGTCATTTTTGTTTCAGAGGAAGAAGCTTGTGGAGCTTGTCATTTACGAAATCAATTCTTAAATGGAATGCAATTTTCCTTGTCGCCCTAGAATCCGATAGGTTGTTTGGAAAGTCGGAGAAATGGCAACGGTAAGTGGTGAATATAGTCTTTGGTGTTCCTCTCTCGGCCTAGTGACTAATTGTGTTCAAAGAAATTGGCGATGCAATAAGGGGTTTCATCTTTGCAGACCAAAAAATCCTTGTTTGGGAGAACCTTGACTCCACTCCCTCTTCTGGTTTGGAGAAAAGGGGTTCGGGATATACCAAAAACTACAGAGCTCATTGTGAGAGGCATTACATATTTGATGCGGATTGCGGTCGAAGACCTTTAGCTTCCGTTAGAGAACCGATTGTCATGCAGTTGTAACAGGGAGCCCATCCAGCGGTTGCCTATTACGTCTAACTTCAGGAGAAGCCACACCCTGTTTCAGGAGGTGGGGCTTGGGACTCGAGGTAAGCATCTCGTCACGATGGTTGTATAGATGCCAATTTCAAGAAGAACCACGTAAATGGTGCAGAAGAAGAAGCGGTTTGTCGTCGCACGGAAATGGAACAAAGCAAAGGGGTAGCGAGATTCAGGCAGAGTCGGGGTCGCCAGTGTTTGAAGTAGAGGTTGGGGATCAAAACCTCTCCAAACTGACATGCGGGTTTTTGTTGCTGTTGCCGGCGCCAGAGAGGGACCCGTTGGACCTAGCGTCGTCGTAGCTAGGGTCGCCGGAAGCTCGTCTTGGCTTGTATTGAAGCCCAAAACGTTGTTTCTCTCTCAAGGAGTAGTCCCTTTGAGCTCCATTTGGTGTTGTTTTGAGGTAATCAAAGATTTGCATCGTGAAGGGGGCAGTTATGAAACCCAATCCAATAATGTTTCCATTACAAACTCTGGATCTTGCATTTTGCCAGAGAGGTCATCAGGTCTGGGAAGTGCTGCATTCAAAGGCTCTATGTTTTGGAAACTTTCTAGGGGTGTCGTATTCAACGAACCAAGAAACCCAAGTCGGAGATTGGTTTAAAGTCAAGTTCTCTGAGGAATTGAAGGCTCACCCATCCCGGGTTGACCCTTCTAACGAGACGGAAATAGAAGCGGAGACCGAATATTCGTTCATGGTCGGGGTACTCACCAGACGATTCTCCTTTCTCTCCCGGGAGCAGAAAGTCCAAACTAGTGCTAGATTGCTATGCTCCTCCTCCTAGTGGGTCTCAGAGAGGGTCAGAGCACAAGAGGGAGACGTAGAAAAGGCAGGGGAATAGCTTTTAGGTTTGCTAGCATTTTTATAGTTGGTTTCTTGTTTTGGGTTTCTTTAGGTAGTTTAGTCGGGGTCGTTGTATCGGTTGTTGTCTTGGCAAGTTTGGTGCTTATAACTAAATACTAGCGAGGGGCGCCCGTGCTAAGCACGGGCAATTACCAAGATTACGATTAAAATCATGTACTGAGAAAGATTATTTATAGAGTTAATAAATATCACTTAATGTAATGAAATGGAAGTAATTAATTAATTAATTTAACTGAATGTTAAGTTTTTAAATAATTATCATTGATTAATGCTAGTAAAACTATTAAAAGTTTAAACTGTAAAAGTAGAACAAAATAAACTAAAACTAAAATCCAATATAAAATTATTTTTTGTAAATAAAAGAAACATTTAAAAAATAAAAGTGGAATTTTCCCATAAACATCATTACATCAACCAACTTTATTATAGAATAAATCGTATCATGTTCCGGGCCATACATGGTAAGATATCTAAGTACAACCAGTTTGAACAAATCTTAATGGAAAAATAAAAATGATTTAAAATAACCTCTAAAATAAAACGCAACTTCAAAGCCATCCATCTCGGGCACATTGAGGTCCAAAAGAATGATGTGAAATGAAGTTCCAGAGGGCCCAAGTCTAATGCATTTAAACCCAGAGGAAACAACAGTAACTTGACAACCGAGCTTCTCAAGGAGCTTTCGTTTCACAGCCCCATTGATGTCATCATAATCAGCTAATATAACTTGAAGGCCTCTGAATTCTGAAGGTAGCTAGCTGCTCTGATGATCCACCTGGTTCAAAGATGCCCCCTCCTATAGATGGTTGGAGTTGAAACTTAAGGTCTCATGCTTTGTGCAAAATCCTTATTATTTGGAATTACCCAAATGTTCCCTTTCATCATCTGCATATTGGTTTCAAAATCAAGATAGTAAATTCTGAAATATAAGATGCAAAATTAATCACCAAGAAATACAAGTTGTTCAATGATGTACATATCCATCAGTTATATATACTTCATTAGAGTTATCAATAGAAGCATGAACCAAGCCCAAGCAGATAACCAAATATGAGCCACACATTAGAGTTATCATCGCAAGCAAATACAACCCATAAGAATGAAGATAATTTGGCAATACATATAAAAAAATAACAATTTGGCAAACCTTATTGGCCAAGTGTTGTTTCACTTTAGTAGCCTACCTGGTTCTTTTATTTACTGGCTGTGGTTTCTGTGTTGTTTTGAATTCAGTGGTTTATAGAAAAACGTAAGAGGTCTCTGTTTGAAGCTCTTGAGAAGATTTAAACTGGTAAGAATTACTGTTGAACAGGGGAAGAAAGAAAAGCTTCTTGACTTGTGATGTTTCTGTTCCTCTTTCAAGAAACTCGGTTTTCCTTTTCCATTTAGTAATTTTCCACTTGGACCTGTGTGGTTGGTGCATCAATCACAATCACAATACAGAAACTCTGTTTCTGTTGTTCTTTCTTGATTCTCAGTAATAGAAACAATACAGAATAAAGAGAAATTAGTTTATATATAAAGAGGTGTTCCTTTAATAAGATCAATACAAATTTCTGAAGGATAAAGAGATTGTTCAGTGGAAAAAGAAGAAAGGTTTCCAATTAGGAGATGTGATGTCTAACTAAATAGTGAATAACTCCAATGATTTCAAAATTAATGTTTGCCCATCTGGTTGACCATTTCTTGCTTGGGTACATGGTATTTCACTTTCCCAATCCACACTTGACCTAGACTATTGGATCCCTTCTTCCATGGCTCCACCAATCTGTTGCTAGCAACAATTCCTAGGTGCAAGTTGTTCTCCTGCATAAAATAAAGGACAGAAATTATTGTGTTGAAAAATTAAAAAAGGATATAGAAATTTTGGGGCCCGACATTTTTTTGTACATGAATAAAAGACAAATAGAAAACACAAATTTTGTATCAATAAATATCATATTAAATTAACTTTATCCATATTAGATTAATTTCCAACTAGAAAAGAACTCTCTTCTAAGCTCTGCTTATGTTTCCAAAAAATAACATAACACAACGGACTAGGAAAAAGCATAGGTACAATTCTAAGAAGAATAAGGATATTATCCAACACAAAATAACTTTTCCTCTGAACTTATCCTTCTATAATATAAAGAAACCCAATGAATGAGTCCAAAGGACAAAAGGCAATACAAATAAGAAGCCTTAAATAATAAAACAATGTAACTTTTCCTCTGAAATTACCTTTTCGGGGCATTCATAATCTCATAGTAAAAGACAGAGAAGCTGAGGATGAGACCTACACAGATGGAATGAGTTGAGGGAATATTTATTATTTTATATTTGTTGTTTGAAGCAGCCTGATAAATGACAATTTGAAAGCCAAAAAAATGAAATATTCAAAGATTATAAGACAAGAATTTACAAGGTAATAAATGAAATCCCTGTGAAAATGTATTTAGCAATTGTGTGAGGGAGAAGAAAGAACCAGGTAACCATTCAATGATTGTTTAGTAGATCTAATTTCATAGGCCTGCAAGATAAACAATTAATCATGTTAGAGAGAGTGATAGGCAAGGAGAATAAGCTTATCCACATTCAATAGGAGAAGGAAGAAATATGAGAAGTTGGTTATGCCATGAATTTATTTAGGAGTAGAAGCATTAATTGAATTGAATTA